TTTAGTTTTTTTATTTAAATGAAAGAAAATTTATTATATATTTATTAATTTTTAAAAATATTTTTGTATTTTGTTATAATTCATTTATTTTAAATACAAAATGCATCAATTTAATTTATTAAATATGTAGTATTCTTTGTAGTATTTGTGTTTATTAGTTAAATTAATTTGACCCAATTGAATTAGAATATTTTTGAATTATTCCTTTAATATCCCTGCTCTAAATAAATACTCTATTTTTCTGAATAAGCTAGGCTAATTGATCAGAGTACATATTTTTCTTTTCTAAACAAGGTGGCTGAAGTAGCTAGCTAGATAGCACACTTTTTAGTTGGACTAACTCTTCTGAAAAGGTGAAATTGAAGTGAAAATGCTGTCGAATAAATATATTTGTTAAAATTTATTGCCCCCTTTCTCCTCTCTCTTATTAAATATTTGTTAAAAATTAATTTTTTTATACAAATAAATATTAATGTAAGTTAAATATTAAAAATACTAACTATAAAAGTATTTGGGTAAATGTCCCAGGCTCCTTTCAGAGTTCAGAGTAGGGTACCCTCTATGAGCACCTCTGCCCCCCATAAAATGACTTGTTTTTTAATTTTGCTGGAGTTGGAGTCGGTTTACTAAAATTATCAGGAGTCGGAGTCTAGTGTTTTTTTACCGACTCCGCATCCCTGGTAAATGGACCAGACACTGCATAACCAGTGATTACGAAAGTGGTGCATTTACTGACTAATTTTCAATTGATCAAAGCATACAGTTATTTTACAGTTAAAATACTAAGTGTGAATTGTTTACACTAAATTATGTTACCTTTCAATTTTTTTTTCAAAAATGGACTTACACCATTTTCAAAATGTAGACATTATTTGGGCTGTTTAGACATATTCTGGGTTTGAAATTTATTGGGTGAACCAAAAGTAAGTTTGGGTATTTACATAATCGCTTCTTCTTCATCCTATAAATGAAAGAATACCAAATATGTGAATTGGATGCATCATTCTTACTAAAAAGGAAACACGTAAAAGCTCAAAAACTTACTTTTAAAAATATTGCTATATTTTTCAATTTCTTTTTACTATTTGTAATTATAGTGGCTGGTTGTTTCTGTTTGAAATGAAATCAAAATAAATTAACATGCTTTCATATAGATTTAATTTTATGCTATATTAAAATTAATTTTGAAACATACTTCATTAACAACCACCGTATCACCAATAAAAATAGCATAAGTTTTAGACTGGTTATCATTGCTTCCTTTATTATCAAGATCAGAGAATCCAACATTAATAATAAACATCATTCCTAATAGTAATTAAAAATGATAAATATAACAGATTTAATTTATCGGTAAAATTCTAAATTATTAATATAAAAGACTGATAGATTTATAGATTAAATTAATAGCACCAATATAAATTTTTTAACATTAAGCAAATAGCTACTTCTGATTGTTTTCCTACACAAGATACAATTAAAATATTAAAATGTTTAGTAGATTGAATTGCTGACATTAATTTTTAACCCTTGCACATGCAGTTCTTTTTATACAGGATAGCGTCTATAAGATGGTGATTTTCTGCTAATTTTTCACACATAATTACAGTGTATGTAACTGTCATTTCTTGTATTTCACATTAGCCCAAACTATCACAAAGTTTCAAGAGTTAATGTGAAACAAGTTCAGCTGAAAATAGTGATGGGAGGACCGAGATGTTTTTCAGAAGGACCATAAAATAATCTTACTGTATTTTTTGGGAATGAAATAAAACCACAAAAACATTTAAATTGTTGAAGTTTATAGCATGGAGATAAGCATTTAAGGTTATAGAGAGTTGCAGACCATATGTCAAGTCATGCATAGCTAAAACTCTTGTGGTAATCATGTAAGACCTAAACATAACATTAATTTAATGACGTCACAGCAGAAAATTGCTGCTTTTAACATGTGAATGTGTCACAAAGATTGTATGCAATCACATGTAGAAAGCAGCAATTTTCTGCAAGTTTGAGGATGTGCAACAAGCAGAAAAAAGCTTTTTTTGTTTTGGTCCAAAATTTGTACACAGATGGAGAGGATACAGCATGACACAAGGATCATAGAACAGCAGCTAAGTAAATCAATTTGGAGGGGGAAAACTAGTACATGTGCAAAATTGCATGTGATTACATGCAGTAGTGCAGGTTAATACTCATTTCATTTAGTATAAATGATTAGCATCACTAATAAAATTAATAATGATGATGATAACTTCTAAAATGGATTTCATCATATTGACTAATATGATGAAATCCATCAATTATTACAGAAAAAAATTTTAAATTTATAACAAAAGTTATAAATTATCAGAAAATATGTAATTTTTTTCTTACTCTAAGTTTGGATTCTAAAATTGCAGTTCGTCTACCCCTTCCAAGAAATGGTTCTTCTTCTGTAACTGACTTTAGATCTTCTTCTTCTTCCTCATCTTCTTCTTCATCCTATAAATTAAAAAATACCAAATATGTGAATTGGATGCATCATTCTCCTTACTAAAAAGGAAACATGTAAAAGCTCAAAAACTTACTTTTAAAAATATTGCTATATTTTTCAATTTCTTTTTACTATTTGTAATTATAGTGGCTGGTTGTTTCTGTTTGAAATGAAATCAAAATAAATTAACATGCTTTCATATAGATTTAATTTTATATTATATTAAAATTAATTTTGAAACATACTTCATTAACAACCACCGTATCACCAATAAAAATAGCATAAGTTTTAGACTGGTTATCATTGCTTCCTTTATTATCAAGATCAGAGAATCCAACATTAATAATAAACATCATTCCTAATAGTAATTAAAAATGATAAATATAACAGATTTAATTTATCATAAAATATATGTAATTTATAAAAAAAGTATTTCTCAAAGAAAGTGCAATTTACCTTTCTTAGCAACTGCTGTTGTTTTTGATGTAATAACCAAAGAACTCTCTCTAAATTCTATACCAGTAGCAAATCTATTTAGAATTTAACTGAATTAAAAAAACAATAATTTACATACAAAATTTAAAATGTTTTAAAACATATTTCTGTTTATTTATTAGGTACAAATATTTTGAAGAGCATTGAGAAAAATTTAAAGTAATTAAATTTAAATTATTTAAATTAAAAAAAAAAAATGTTCAACCCAATTCACACAGAATACTTTAATTTAAATCAAACAGTATCATTTCTATTAATATTTTCTTGCAAATTGATTTTCTATTTTTGCAAACAACAGATGGCAGA